CCAAGGAACACTCGTTGGTTCATATTCAAGTCCGGAAACGACTTATACCACGCATACAAGTCCGGAAAATAATGGAATAAGCAATTGGACTGAAAAATCGAGCACGAACATTTCTTTCACGATATTTTGGCTTGATTTATCTCTGCATAAAAGACTTGACATTTTTCCCTGAAAAATATTTAGAATAAAGATTTAGCCGGGGTAAGACCCTCGGTGAATGTCAGCTTCCAACCTACCAAACACTTTTTCATCCTGACCTTTCCCCACTAGCATCGTATCCGTTGTGACCCGTTTTGTCAAAGGGTCGGTCAGTAACAAACAACAGAAAGAAAGGTGAAATTGTTAAACTGGCTAGCGTTACTTCCAACTCAGCAAACTTGTCTAAAATTATCTTTTGAGTACATGGAACATTTGGGAAACTAATTATCGTCGCTTGATTGAACTGCTTCGACGCCCATCTTTTATTCTCCATCATCGGTTTTTTTTCTCCTCCTTTCTGTGATGATGCTGGTGAGGTAAAAACAACCGTTCAACCCCGTAGTCAGTCGGCCATCAAGTTTTACGAGGTCGTCTGACACGAAGGCGCTTTCGTTTTATAACGAGAGCTCACACCCCACAGCCACTGGGGGTTTTCTGAGTTTAAACCACTGATGAAAGCTTGAGCGAAGAAAACTCGTCCGAGAGATAGTGACTCAGACGTGATTGTGGAAATTGTGCTTTTTTTTATCATGAAGATATCTGAATTGCAAAGACCTTAACCACAGTGAAAATTAAATGACACAGGAAAGAGCTGAACAAACTATCAAAATTACAATTACCCTTAAATGTTCAATTCCGGCATTATTAAAATTTTCCTATTCTTTCGAAAAAAAGAACTCGAGGATTGTTTCTAGGATAAATCGTTGGGAATACAATATATTCCACTTGTTTCAAGCGGAATATATTCGGATTTCAGATTTGATGTGAGTAGAAAATTGAATCATTTAAAGAAAATTGATTCAAGAAATAAAATTTATCATTTGAAATTATCTAAAAGTTTAATCGAGATAGCTACTGATTTGTTAACTATTGTCGAACACTTCTTTGTTCATATTTACCTCAACCGTATGTTAACAATCAACAAACGTCATGGCAGAATATAAATCGTTCAACAGTGTGAGGTATCTCCACTATCCCATCAGAAAAACCCCTTCACCCTTTCCCATTTATCTCCAATCCTATATTCTCCCCACCTTAGTCGTTAGTTAATTGAATAGAATCAATAGCTTTTAGCATCCCTCATTCATATTAATCAATACCTCATAAACATCAAAGGTTCAGCGAATACACATCCCCGGGGATAAAATAGAATTAGAATGGACCGCTCGTGTAAATATCTCCTCATTCCTTCGACTCTCATTCATCTCCTCAAATTAAGATTAAGAAAATGTTGACGATAAACAATTAGAATTGACAAACCATCATGTGTATCCACAGTCTCGGGTACTCAGGCAACACCCAGGGTAGAGCCCTCTCGACACTCGATTAACCACTCCCACTCAATCGACTAATATTTACCCTGGAGCGTCGTTGTACAGCGTCAAGAGGCTTCCTCGGATATACCACTCCGTGCCTTCATTATGCAATTCTAGAGAGGCTTCCCTGTCTCACTTCACTCTCACCTCTCACCGTCCCCCTCCCAACAAGTGTCAGGTGTATATCGACACTCGAGTGTGTCCTTCGGTGTGCAACTTTTCAAGCGACACTGGTGTCCTCCTCTGCTAACCCCTGGAAAACCCCTCGAAACACTTATTTATTTTCATTGCTGAATCACATCTGTTGCACAAGCCTCTACAAATGGGAGGGGGGGGGGTGTACGGCACCGAGGAGCTTGTCTCATTCGGTTTGATTCCCGTAGATTCTAAAGCAATTACCGAGTGAACCGCCAGCGGCGAGCCGAATCTCATTAGTACCCCATCGATTGATTTCCGACTCGACGGATGGAGACGTTGAGGAAGACACCCCTGCACTGAGATATTCAAGAGGTATGAATAGTCGGATGCGTCTCGGTTACCCTTTATTCCACCGCAGGATTGATCAGAGTGGTAATTATGCGTCCTGGAGAGCCTATATCATTCCTTGAGTAGTCTTGAGCATTCTTGAGCAATCGCATGACTCTTATTTCGGAGCTTCAATGGTTTCCGGTATCAGCGATTATCGTAAGACGGTAGATTTCAATCTGGCTTGATGGATGGAGACGTTGAGGGATACACCCCTACGCTGAGATATTGAAGGGGTGAGAATATTTGGATGTGTCTTCTTTATTTCACCCCAGGAGTGAGGTGTTATACGTTCTGAGGAATCTATATCTTTCTTTGAGTATTCTTCGGTATTCTTGAGCATGTCTTGAGCCTTCTTGAGCAATCGAACGATTCTTATTTCTGGGCATCAAGCGTTTGAATAATCAAGCCATTCGTGTATGACGGTAATTGTGCATTCTAAAAAACCTGTTTCTCTCGTTGAAGAGTGTTGAGCCTTCTTGAGCAATCGAACGATTCTTATTCCTGGGCATCAAGCGTTTGAATGATCAAGCGATTCGTGTACGACGATAAACGCATTCTAAAAAACCTGTTTCTCTCGGTGAAGAGTCTTGAGTATTCTTGAGCAATCGAACGATTCTTATTCCTTGGCTTCAAAAGTTGAGGTATTAAGCGATTCTTGTACGACGATGAATTTTGATCGAACAGTAGAATCCACCTCGATGAATGGGAACGTTGAAGAAGACACTTCTGCACTGAGATATTCAAGGAGTGAGAATAGTCGATTCAATTTCAACCAATAGAATTGCACCATTCGATGTTATTTTTATAACCAACATAATATTAAAGTGAGAATTTTTACTATTCTACGAATTTAACTACTATTTTTTTTTATTTTGCCCATGTATTAAAAATATAAGGGTTCTGGGTTGAATGAACCCCTCATTGAAACTCCGCTCGAGTTTGTCTCACAGTGCATTTCTCTCGGCCGAAATTTGGGTGGGAAAATTGTTATCCGAATACCACCCGAGCTTCGAAATCCATCCGATATTTTCCTCAAGATAGTTTTAAAGCTTTTGTGATATTGCATACAATTATTATGCGATCCGGAGAGTTTATAACTTTCCTTGAGCAGCCTTGAGTATTGTTGAGCATATCTTGAGTATTCTAAAACAATCGAACGGCTCTCATTCCTAGGTTCTCATTCCCCAAGCGTGTAAATTATCAAGGGATTCTTGTACGACGACATATTTTGATCGAATGGACAGTATAAATCGCCTCGATGAATGGAGACAATGAAGAAGACACTCCTACACTGAAATATTCAAGATGTAACAATAGTCAGCCACCTCTCGGCTATCTTTTATTCCTTGCCAAGGATGATTAGAGCGGTAATTATGCGTTCTGGTGAATATATACCTCTTCTTGAGTGGTCTTGAGTATTCTTGAGCATATCTCGAGTATTCTCGAGCAATCGAATGGTTCTTATTCCGGGACCTCAAGGGTTTGAGTTAACAAGCGATCCCCGTACGACGGTGCATTTTAATCGAACTGACAGTAGAATGCAGAATGGAATAATGAAAGAAAATAAATGAGGTGGGTTTGACGGTTGAGTGTTATAAAACCACGGTGGGGAAGAGAGACTGAGGATTTTGCGGGGGATTGTGGATTTTATACTAATGGAGTAGTTTAATTAGTTTTGTCGTTGGGTACCAACGGGTGAGGAAAAGCTCTGGGTTAAGAGTACCTGCGAGTGGGGGGAGGAAAAGACAAGGAAAATCGAGGATTTATGAGGGCGTTCACAGGGATAGTCTTCTAATAAAGTCAGGTAATTAGTTTTTGTGATCATTGAGTTGTCTCAGCGGCGACTTGAAAACTCTCGTTTCATTATTCTCTTTTCCTTCAACATTTCAATAATCGAGGGGGAATGGGAATGGAGAAAAATTTAAATTGAAAAATGTTTGAGGAATTTGAAATTAACAGAGCACGGAGGAAGCAGGAGGGGGTGATATAACTAGCTATTCGTTATCGTAACGATCGTTAATTATGCCCAATAATTTTCACCACGTTGTGACTTCAAAAGCCCCGGGAAACATATGCCCCCCACCTCGCGCTGGCGAGGTTCGTATATATTACGCGGGTAGAGGGGTATGTAATTTATCGCACACCACCACCGAATTTGGCACGGCTTCTCCCCACCTCTCGTTTAGTCCCTTCGTTTCGCTTTTCCATTCTCCCTCCACTTTTTCTCTGGCCATGCTTTATGTTATAAGTATTCATTCCTCTCATTCAGACCATTTTTTTCTCTACTTTTCGGGACTCAATTAACTCTGAAAGAGTAACTCCAAAGAGACTCGCTTTAATTGGCCTATTAACCTTTTCCCCGGGGTCTCTCTCTCATTTTTGTTAATATTTCTCGTCTTTTTATCTTTTGTTGTGTTATTACGGACGGAGGCTCAGCCTTTTGAGACTTAAAATAAACGCGCCAGTGTGGAAATTAGCCTCGAGTGCAGCGCCTCCTGGGCGACAGTGGCGCCCGCCGTTTGATTGGGGATAATGATTATTTTGGGCGAGGGGGCGGCGCTAAGCGGTATTTAATGCTGTCATTAAGTGCGTTGTTTTACGATGCCTCCCCTTGCTCGCAAATTGCCAGGACGTTTTGAATCTTTAGAAATTTCCGGCGAATGAGTTTTCAACGTAAGGCTGAATATGAATTGCAAGCCCTAGAGTTTGAGAATTTTAGTTCACTGAAATTTTAATGGGTTTTACTTGAATGGAATATATCATTGAATCGACTATTTGGAACAGTTTGGGGAAATATCGGGTGGAGTTGACCAACGTGTTTGATCGACATTTCTATTTCAGAATAAATCGCTTCATTTCCAACCTGACAACTCGTCATTTTGCCTTCGTTTATATGTTGAATTGAAGTCCGTCAGTGATGTATCGATGATTTAAATGAAATATTTTTGGTTGTTTCAGCGCTGTTGGTGGTAGCATGTTGGGCGATGTCAACATCTCAGCGATTCTCGATTCCTTTTCCATTAGTTACGATAAAAGAGTAAGGCCGAACTACGGAGGTGAGTACCCAATGAAACACGCGCTCGAATCTCCTGTGAACATCATTTTCGTTGAATATTTTTTTACTCAAGTGCATCTTTAGAATTCTCAGACTCAATTGACTGACAATTTTACATTGGTGGGTCAATTTTGTCGAGAATAACAGAGATGCGTATTTCATCCCATTTTCTGTTGTATCGATAGCCGCATCAACCTCGCATCAAAATCAGTCTCAGAAGCAAAATTTTTGGTAGAAAATTTTATCACGAAAATTAGATAGGATTCAATACGAACGTGGAGAGATAAACAGAAGAGATTATTTATTGAACGATGAGATTACTCCATTTCGAAACCACCGCCGAGACTTTGAAGCACAATATTGAAGGGGTATTTATGGGAGAATGAAATTTTCGTGGAATACGTCGGTTGATTGTCTCCAGCCATTAAGACGGATATAGCGTGATGTACGTAATGTTGTCAATCATTCTTCCACGCTTATTTATTGATTTCCATTCCCTCCTCGTACCTCATTCCAGTCGCCTTTTATTTCCGTTCCGTCCGACGTCGTAAAGCTCTCTCCCGACGAATCCTAAAACGTTTGGATTCGAAGCAATCTTCTTTAAAACTTTACGAGCCCACGACGGGGAAGAGCATAATACTCCGAGACTAGGCGAGACACAGAAGAAACGGTTTTTTGGGGGAAGAAGACAGCAACGACAAAAACATGGCGTCAAGGACAAAATGAAAAATCCACTGGTTGGAAAACAAAGTGAAAATGAAAAATGACGGAAAATGCATCCACAAAAAGAAATACAACTGAAAAAAATGCCTGCGGAAGCACTTGATGGACGAATATTCTAGACAATAGAGCACACAAACTGAAAGATCTCCAGGGGGGAGAAGTTGAGTAACGCAAAATGAACTGCATCTACTCTCTCACAAATGAGACCCACATACAAATGCATTATAAATCATTGCGAGCAAAAAAAAATTCACAACGAGAGCAACAACAAATAGAAATGAAAAAGTGAAGTAGAAACTGATGGAGCATCGCTTAAATCCCGCAACAATGAGGCATCGTAATTCATGAGGGCTCCAGCATGACAACTTCTCCCGCAGATTTCTCAACAGCTGTATGAAAAAAAAACGCACCGCCATTTCTCCATTGGAATCATTTTTTATTAATTCACAATTCCCGGTGAAGTCCCACCAGGGAGAAATGGGGGAAAAATCCACCGACGTCTTTTCCGTTCACCCTTCCATTGTCACGATACTACACAACCGGAAGCGGCGCAGGTGGGATGAGAGTTCGACACTCACAATCGTATCGAAATAAGGGCAGGCGAGGTCGATGGAGACGGAGCAATGGTTCAATTGTGCGGGCGATTGTCGAAGATTCTAAAGTGAGAGGGAGAAAGAACTCGGTGGAAAAAAAAAGAAAAACAAAGTTGATGGGGAAAATAAACTACAGGGGGTGCCAAGCAATAACCAACTGCGATTGCCAATGTTCAAAGCCCACCGATTGCTCCTTTTGAACTTTTTCCCGTCCCGTTTTTTCCTTCTTTCTCAATAAAAATAACCACGCTCCCATACTTCTCTCCTCTCTCCACTGAAGCTCACTAACGCCATTCAATTATTTTCCCCGATTAAGGAAACGTAGGGGTGAACTAAACGAGCGGGAGCATATTGAATCGTGTGCAAAATTGATGCCAACTTATCTTCCCCCCCGAAATTCCACAGCATATTCGTAAGGGGAATGTATCGGGCAATGGTCAGCCACCGTGGCCAGCTCGATTGGGGCAATTTGGAAGTCAGTGTGGGTTAATGTGCCGCGGAACTCACCCAACCCCCGCCCTCTCGATCCCACTCACCAAGTTCCATTGGTCATACATCCCCTGGTTTCTCTCTTGCACCCCTTATCGAGTCATTCAGCCGCGCGACATTGTGCTGTGGTCGCGAGCGCGGGAGAAGTCAAATTTTCGGGACACCTCGGCAATAGGGCGGGGCTCGAGTTCGGTAAAACTCGGATCGATGGTTGGGACGTTCGTTGCCACTGGTTACCGTTAACAGCATCCCCATTTGGTCCTGGCGAGGGGAAGGGAAGGTCCAAGCACACTCCTGTACTGTATACGATCCCATGTACCGCACTTTGCTGATGGTATAAACGCTACTCCGCTATTCTTTCTCATCCCACCACTTTGGCCTTTTGTTTTTCATCCCCACTATTTTTTTTTCAGTCCCCCCTCATCACAGCGTAAAAACACTGAGTTGTTCGGGTGCAATAAAGAGGCAATCGAGCATGAAGAATCGTGCCCCCCTCCTCGACAAAGCATGAGAGATGATATTGTCAATTCTGTGGAAGCGATGTAAATATGAATTTTATGTAGATTGAGAAATATGAAGTGTACGTGGATCATTGGCCCTTGCTTGCTTATGCAAGGCCTCATTCTCTTTTTAGGGGAAAAAAATGGGGGGAAAATAAAGCGAGGAAACCACTCGACCCAGATACGTCTCGAATTTAGAAAAATCACGATCCTTGCTCCTAACCCCGGTCCCTCTCTTCCCATTCAGCATCACCTTTCTACCTACGGATGGCTATTCCCGCGGCCTTTTTGGATACGGTCACGAAATTCCCGTTTTCCGGTCACGATTCTGAAAGAGCGATGGCTACGAATAGTCCCTTTCTACTTCGTCTCCTTTCACGGACGCACGACTCTACACACACCTTCCATCTTTTTTTTAACTTGGTTTTCTATCTTCAGTTTCCTTCCTATCTTCATCCATCCTCGGCACCCCCTGCTCCAGCTATTTCCCTTATTTTTTCGCCGGTGTACGACGACGAGTCACGGAACGTGACTCTCCATTGGCGAATTCTCCGAGCTCAAGCCAATCCAACCTTCCACGAGGACCAAAGGACACTTCTATCGTTCGTCTTTGAAGGGATTTGATTCAACTGTCGGCGTATCAAGGATCCAATTCAGAACAAATAACCAATTTTACGAGTGTAGAGGCTCCTTTGAGAGATGTTGAATTTCCATTCTACGAAGCTTGTGCGGAATGGATCGATGGGGATGGGCTCGGGATAAGTATCCTCATCAGAGGATATAAGCGTGGGTTGACAGCTGTTGAACAACATGTCTGGCATTTGCTGCAATCAAACAGCTCCACAAAATTGGGGTTTCGAGAGCGATCTGGAAAAGGTGAACTAGACACATTCCGCTAGCTTTATTCCTTTGAACGAGTTCATTGATTGTTTTTAGATTGATAAGCCTACATTAGTGCACAATTCTTTGTTGAAATTTTGACATGAAAATTGGACGTGATTCAACATCAACGTAGAAAGAAAAACAGAAGATAATTCATTTAAAGACGAGATTCGTCGCGTTCGAAACTGCCACCGAGACGAATAACCAATTTTACGAGTGTAAACTTCCCTTTGAGAGATGTTCAATTTGTATTCTACAAAATTGGCTCGTAATGGGTCCGTGAGGGTACGATCGAGATAAGTATCCTCATTAGGAGATATAGGCGTGGGTTAACAGCTGTTGGACAACATGTCTGGCACCTGCTGCAATTACACAGTTACCCAGAAGAGCGGTTTCGAGAGCGATGAGGGGACGGTGAACTAGACACGTTCCGCCGGCTTCATTCCTATAAACACCAACTCGTTGTTTATTTTCAGATTAAATCAATTGGCAATTCTACATTAGTGCATCATTCTTTGCAGAAATTTCTAGTGTAGAAATTTTATTATGAAAATTAGACGGGATTTAATGCCAACGTAGAAAGAAAAACGAAGAGATAATTAAGTAAAAGAAGAAATACTTCGATTTGAAGACTGCTGCAGAGACAAATAACCAATTTTGCGAGTGTAAGATTTCCTTTGAGAGATGTTGAATTTCCATTCTACGAAATTGGTTCGCAGTGGGTCCATGAGGATGCGATCGGGATGAGTATCTTCAGCAGGAGATACAAGCGTGGGTTGACAGTTGTTGAACAACATGTCTGGCACCTGCTGCAATTACACAGTTACCTAGAAGAGTGGTTTCGAGAGCGACGAGAGGACGGTGAACTAGACACGTTCCGCCAACTTCATTCCTGTGAACACCAACTCGGTGATTATTTTTAGATTGAATTAATTGACAATCCCCATTAGCGCATCATTCTTTGTAGAAATTTCATCATGAAAATTAGATAGTATTCAAGACCAACGTAGAAAGTGAAAACAAAGAGATAAATCATTGGAAGAGGAGGTTCTCCGATTTCAAAACTACTACCGAAATAAATAACTAATTTCACGAGTGTACCATTCCGCTTGAGAGATTTTGAATTACCATACTACGAAGTTGGTCGAGAATGGGTCGATGGGGATGGGACTGGGATGAGTATCATCAGAAGATACAGGCGTGGGTTGAAAGATGTGGAACAACATGTCTGGCACCTGCTGCAATTACACATCTACCTAAAAGTGTGATTTCAAGAGTGATAAGGGGAAGGTGAATTATGCACGTTCCGCCAGTTTGATTTCTGTGAACACCACATTCGTTGATTATTTTTAGATTAAATCAACTGACATCAACTGACCTACATTCGTGCATAATTCTTCGCAAAGAATTCTAGTGCAGAAAGTTCAACATGAAAATTGGATAGGATTCAATACCAATACAGAAAGGGAGACAGAAATGATAACACATGAGACGAGATTCATCAATTTCTAAATTACCGCCAAGCAGAACAACCACTTTTACGAGTGTAACATCTCCTTCGAGAGCTGTTGGGTTTCCATTCTGCGAAGTTGGTTTGAAATGAGTCGATGTCCTCATTCGGACAAACACGCGTGGGTTGACAGCTGTTGAACAACATGTCTGCCACTTGGTTCAATCCGACAGCTCCATAAAAGAAAGGTTTTGAGAGCGATGAGGGCAGGGGCCAACTCCCGACACATTCCGCCAGCTTCATTCCTCATTCATTTACGCAGGAAGCCGAGGGAAATGAATGGAATGAATGAAATTCAGTTTGA